AAAGGGTTTCGTGTTTTTTTATGCCCCTTTACAGCCTGTATTAGTGTACATGTCTAAAGTGGATGGAAAGTTCAACTTCAGTCCTATTAGCGTCAACTTCTTGACGGAAATCGCAAAGGTTATGTTTGCGGTTGTCATGCTTCTGATCGAGGTACGTTTCTGAATTGACTTCAGTTCTAGTGAATTTTCATTCTTTTTGTGCCTCATATATGTTTCTTTCTTAGAAAAAAGGTGAAAGAAGTCTTTTCAATCTTCTTTTATTTTGCAAGTACATTAAAACTAGTAGGTAGATGTTTCTTCTGCACTAGAACATGAAACCACTTGCTGGCGTATCTGGAGAGGGATAAAGTCATATTCCTTTGCTATTATGTATCTATATCGTAGGCGTGCTTTAGTTGATTAACTGGTAACGGAAGGAAGTGGGGTTCTTATTCTTTTATTTGTGTGCAAAGAGGCAGTTTCTGTCACGTGTGTTTTGCTTTTCGGTAGGAAAGTGGCCCTCCTTTTAGTACTCGACTTTTTTTTTTGTGGAATTATTGTAGGCCAGGCACCAAAAAGTTGGGGAGAAGCCTCTATTATCGTTTTCCACATTTGTTCAGGTACCTCTTCCTGGAAATTAAGAGATTGGAATATACTGTAAAAGATTTTTGTACTAGGATTGTGGTATGGCATAGTATCAAATTTAAAGTTAGTTTCTTGGGCTCTCATTGTCTAATGAGCTTTGTGTATATTATATATATGGTTGTCAAAGCATGATAATTTGAAATGTAGATGGTATGTGATCACTAGATCTATCTGATACTATACTTGTTTCTTAAACTGTTTCCTGCTATTAAACTTAAGTACCTCTGATTTTATTTGATTACTATCTACTGTATAGTGCAAGTTGCAGTAACGCTATCCCTTATTTCGCAGGCAGCTCGGAACAATGTGCTTCTCGCTGTTCCAGCAGGGTTGTATGCCATTAATAACTATCTTAAGTTCACAATGCAGGTACACGTGCTTCTTGTTTTGAAACATGTCATCCTTTGGTCTAATTAAGATTCAGAAATGCAACTTCATTGCAGACTTGTCATAGCTGTTTTAAGTTTTGCTGTAAACGTTTTTCCAGCTTTTGGTGTCTTTTGGTACTTCGACATTATAAGAACTTAGGAATGGTTGCATCTATCATAAGAGTAAAAGCAGAGACATTAGCTAGGGTCATATTGACTTCAGAACCGTAATTATGGAATGTCAGGGAACCTAATATGGTTGTAACATAATTCATAGTTAGTTTCTGTGAGACTCCTTTCCTATGTTTCCTCTCTTAGAATATTACTCTGTCTGATCAAATTTGTTGATCCTTGATTTTGGTACTTGACATCTTTTCTTGTAGACGCCTACTGGTCGTATGCATATGGTTATATTATCATCTATATGTTCCCTAAGTCTTGCTTAGCATCCTGCAATATGTTTCGTTTCTGGTGATAGATGTTTGAGTTTGAGTTTGCTGTTAATGCTTTACTGTACAATTGCTTTGAATTAACATAATTACATCATACTCTGCTGTTGTATTTATCTAGCCTTCTCGGCTACTATTTGGTTCCATATTTCTTTCCTTCTGAAATTTTAGTTTTCACACAGCAATTCACTTTTCTGGTGTGACAGTTATATTTCAATCCTGCTACTGTGAAGATGCTCAGCAATCTAAAGGTTCTGGTAATTGCTGTACTACTGAAGATGATAATGAAGCGACGGTTTTCCATCATACAGGTCAGGTTCAATTATTTTTGGTTGTCTCTATTTGTGATTTCTTTGTGGTATCAAACATACTATTATGGACATTTTTGTTTGACCTTCCTTACCTCCTACTCTTGTTGAAATTGAGTTTTTTCTTTTTTGACTTTGTGTTGTAGTGGGAAGCACTTGCTCTGCTTCTAATAGGAATTAGTGTAAATCAGCTGCGTTCTCTTCCTGAAGGTGCTACTACTATTGCTGTTCCAATTGCTACGGGTGCATACTTCTGTACCTTTATCTTTGTAAGTTACACTTTGTGGTGCTTCCATTTACCTTTCTTGGAAATGTAGTATGGAACTGATTCTATGCACGCTCTTCTAAAATTCATGCAATCCCTCACCTGGTGCCGCAAAAATTAAAAGTTGTAGTTCGGTTTAGAGGCTTATTAAGCACATTATCTTGCAGGTTACTGTCCCATCCTTGGCATCTGTCTACAACGAGTATGCTTTAAAGAGCCAGTATGAGACAAGCATTTATCTTCAGGTTAGCTAATCCTCATACATAGTTTTTTCATATAGCACCAGAGAAGTGAGAGGCTTATAGTGTAATATTAGAAGGCTTGTGGTGACCGCTGCGTGTAACTGGTGGTTAAAGGCTTAAAGCTATTTACATAGTTTGTTTGTGTTTTCTGATTGTAAATCATTAATTTCCTCTGGTGCAGAACTTATTCCTTTATGGTTATGGTGCAATATTCAACTTCCTTGGAATACTAGGAACTGTTATATATAAAGGTATGGTTTTTCTCTAACACAGTAGAATATGATCAATCTTGAAGCAAATCAAATGCCAGATAAGCTTTTCTAGAATTGTGTTAGACGCATTGCGAACAATTTTTCCACTGTCGACAGGTCCTGCTAGTTTTGACATCCTACAAGGACATTCTAGGGCTACTGTGTTTCTGATAATGAACAACGCAGCACAAGGGATTCTATCCTCCTTTTTCTTCAAATACGCAGGTAAAGAAAGACCAGTTTATGTTAATTTTTATTTGATATTATGGATTAGTTTTAGATGAATTCCTGATACTGCTTCAACAGATACGTATTTATTTTTTTGGTTCTCGCTATATATGCATGAGTGAGAGTGTTTTCATGGTTATCTAGTTGTCTTCATTTTTGTATGTTCTTTCTCAGATACAATCTTGAAGAAGTATTCATCGACGGTTGCCACAATATTTACTGGCATAGCATCAGCAGCACTCTTTGGACATGTATTAACCATGAATTTTCTTCTGGGGATTTCTATAGTTTTCATTTCAATGCATCAGGTAATCCATACAAACCGCTCATTGGCTGTATCAATTAACTTACAGAGAGGAATCTCGAGTTCTCTAATGTTTTTCTTCCTCATACTTTATGCAGTTCTTTTCACCCCTTGCAAAAGTGAAAGATGAGCCACAGAACGGAAACATAGAAATAGTTGATGCAAAGGATGGTCATAGGTATGTTGTTCATTGATCGATCATTTTCAGTGATATAAGTCACTGTTATATACTTAAAATTATTTTCAGAGAAACCAAAAGCGTGGGAGATTCACTTGCACCATCTAACTTTTCTTCATGTTATCTTCTCCAGAGATAAAGACACATTCATCAACATGGCAGCAGGAGCAAATGAAGAGGTGAAGCAGACACACAAACTACATTCCCATCTTAAGTGAAATCTAGTTCCTGTAATGTTCTAACTTAAGCTGATCATGTTCTGTCTTTCTTCTCTCTTTAAGCAGGCTACTCACCGTGTCGAATCAGACGACAGAGAGCCCCTTCTTCCCAGATAAAAACTCTTTCACCGTAAGAGTATCATCTTCTCAACCTATGATTAGATTCTCTGGAATCTCACATGTTCATATATGCATCTGCGCTTCTTACTGCAGGATTTTGTCTCGCATAATTTTTTAAAACCAAGATTATTTTAGAGATCAGGGGTCATTACCGACCGTATACCCACCCGGTTCCAATGCAATAAACTTCATGAGACCTGACTCCTTCACCCCCCTGCAACTCTTGAAAGAGTCAGTTAAGTTCGTTGAGAACATCTTTTCTAGCTAACCTATTCACTTCTGTATGTGAATGGAGGTCAAATTCACCTGGATATTTAACAGATTTTTCTTTTAAATATTTTTTTTCTTTGAGAACATCTTTTCTGATGCAAGAGCATACTGGATCCTCCTCCTCCCAACTGTTAACTACTTTGGTGTTCATCTGAAAGAAGCTAGTCAAAGCGTTCCGACAAGCATTGCTTTTTCCTGACAAAACAAAGAGTTTCAACACACTTAGACACACACAAACCTTGTGTCAAAAAAAAAAAGACACACACAAACCACCATGCAAAATCCTTAGAACATTCATAACAGAAAAACAAAAAGGACATACCTTTCAATGAGGAACCATCTTTCTGAAACATGACTTTCCCGTTGTCTACAGCAAGAACCAAGCAGTCTTTAGATAGTTTCTTGGCTAAGTACTTAGCCACTGAGACAGATGAGTGGCAACAAGTTCTGGAAACTCCAACTACAACTTTGGATCCATGACACAACTTTGCTTCTCTAACTAAAACCTTTCGAGTAGAGGAGCCCCGGCAATAGTTTCAGCTTCAGCTCAATCTATTAAAAAAGAACATCTTTAGACACTGATCTTTCAGAAAAGAAAAAAAAGAAATGATAATCAAAGTTGTCTACTTTTTTTGTAGATTTACATTTTTTCAATTTGCAGAAACCTTCATAAGCTTCAAGAACAGAGTATTTAGTTTTAACAAGGGAGAGAAACGAAGAGTCGCCTGCTTAAGCTAAACTGGCTTTGTATTAAATTGTAAAAAGCATGAAACAGACGTGATGAATCTAACCGTTCAATATGATGATGTAACTTGGATATCTCTCCCTCTCAGATTTGTACAGAGTATCACGAGGAGTACGATAGGGGGTTCAGTGACATTGTAACACCCATAGTCACTCGAATATACTATACTCGCAAAACATCATCATTAGAGCAAAACCGTTAAAAGAAGCATCAGAACAGATCATACGGAGGAGGTTTGGAAGTGAGTGAGAGTAGTAGAGAGATAAGGAGGGAGAAGCGGTTATTATTATTATTACTGTTGTAAAAATAAATTAAATTTTTAATGATGACCGTATTATTATTATTTTGTTATACAGTAAGCTTATGTCCGTGTGATTATTATTTGCATCTCGAGGCTCTCTTATACGATCTTAGTATATAAATTAACATTATTTTTACCGTACCAAACGCATCTTCTCTTCCATCTCAAATCCCGTGGGGAATTAGATTTGTCTCTCTGTCGAGAGAATCATCTCATCATCGACCCCTCTTACTTCTCTCCATTCACCGTCACCGATCCATCTCTCCCCCTTTCGGTTTCAATCCCTGGTGCTCTCTCTCCTTCTTCCACTGATCTAACGATGATTGCAGCCTTGTGAAAATTAGGGGTTATTCAAAATGGCAGCGCCGAGGCCAACGGGGAACCAGGATCTGTTCGATACGTATTTCCGGAGAGCAGATTTGGATGGAGATGGCCGTATCAGTGGAGCCGAGGCTGTCGCTTTCTTCCAACGCTCCGGTTTGCATAAGAACGTCCTTGCTCAGGTCTTTCTTCACCTTAATCTCCATCTCCTTTGATTTCTCTATTTTGATGGATTATTTTGACAACGAACTCGTAGGTTTTGAATTGGATCATACCTCTATTTTCATTTTGGAGAGCTTATAGTCTAGTTTATGTAAATTCTATTTGAGAATCCGCTGACTCTCAACAGATTCTTGGCTGAGGAACTCTCCAACTAGTTTGTAATATGTATTGTTGCTCGCATTGTGTTTTTAGTGGATATGTTTGTTTTTTTTTTTTGGTTCAAGAGTCAAATTTGAATGCATTATAGCTTATTGAGTGATCTAGATGCGTAGAACATGAGAGAAATTCTGCATATTTGAAATGATCATAACCTTGCTTGACTATAGACAACATTTGCAGATTCGTTCAGTTATAAGTTTCTGGGCGCGTATTGTACAATTAGTCTTTCGGATTGTTAATGGTATAGCTTCTTCTTTTTATAACGTCTTTGTAGGTATGGTCCCACGCAGATGCAAAAAATGCGGGTTACCTTGGTCGAGAGGAGTTTTATAATGCTCTAAAGTTGGTAACTGTGGCGCAAAGTAGACGGGAATTAACTCCTGCCATAGTCGAAGCTGCAATCCGTGGTCCTGCTTCTGCCAATATCCCTGCTCCCAACATAAATCTTGCTGCAACGCCCTCTCTACAGCCTAGGGGAGTTGTGCCTGCTACACAAGCTCAGGGAGGTGCGTCACTGCCATCAGTACCCGCTGATATGAGAGGGCCTCAAAGGAGTGGAGCCGTAAGCACTAGTAACCAACAAGTGGGCCCGGGCCAGCAGAACCAATTTATGGGGCCACCTCCATCTCAACCTCAGCAAAACTTTCAAAGCCAGGGTATGCCAGCTGGAGGGACTAGTGCGCCTCGTAGTGCAAACCAACCTGTGCCATCTGATTGGCTCAGCGGCAGAAGTGTTGGGCCCTCTGGGCAAGTGAATTCTCAACTTCCTTCGAGTCAAAGTGGATATGGACCTTCGAGTCAAAGTGGATATGGTTTGACAGCACCTAACTCAGTTGCCAGCAATATACCAAAACCGCATGTGACACCTGCAGTAATAAGCTCTACGACAGCGAAGGATCCCAAGGCACTGGCGGCATCAGGAAACGGTTTTCCCTCTGACTCACTTTTCGGAGATGTGTTTTCAGTTACTTCTACGCAGCCAAAACAACATACTGCGGGAACTACTTCGACAATGGGCAGCTCATCTGCTTCTGGTACACCTGGCTCTACTGTTGGAACTGGAATTTCAGCTTCTAGTCAGTTGACCCAGCGTCAGTCGCAGCCCCAACCCCAATACCAACCCCGACCCCAGCACCATCCCCAACCTCAGCACCAACCCCGACCCCAGCACCATCCCCAACCTCAGCACCAACCCCGACCCCAGCACCAACCCCAACCCCAACCCCATGCCCAACCACAGCACCGCCCCCATTCTCATCCCCAGCACCAACCCTACCTCCAGTCCCAAGCCCCCTGGCAAAAAATGACTCCAGCTGACGTCCAGAAATATACCAAGGTATTTGTACAAGTTGACACTGATAGGGACGGAAAGATCACTGGGCACCAGGCTCGGAATCTGTTCTTAAGTTGGAAGCTCCCGCGAGGTAGGCTACATTTCTTTTCTGTTGCTTCATTCGTTACCACTAGTTTAGTTTCAGTTTGAGCTTGTTGTTATAATGGTGAACATGCATGATAATTAAGTGACACTTCTCTAGTTATTTATATTTGTTTGTGTAGTATTGAAATTATTGATCAACTGCCATTTTAAGTGAAATGTTGAGTATTTCATGTTTTGTTCAAGACGATAAATGGATAGTGATATCATCTCAAGCAGAAAATGGTAAATTTTATATGGGGATTATTGACCGCTTTATGTGTTCAATGCTGTTCCTTGGTATTACAGAGGCTTTGCAGCAGGTATGGGATTTATCCGATCAAGACAATGATAGCATGCTCTCCTTGAGGGAGTTCTGTATTGCTGTCTATCTAATGGAGCGTTATAGAGAGGGCCGACCTCTTCCCCCAGTGTTCCCAAGCACTATAATATCTAGTGAGAGCATGTTTACCTCTCCTGGTCAATCTGTGGCACCGCATGGCAATGCATCCTGGGGACATCCACATGGTATTGCAATACACAAACCTTTTTCTCTATTGCTTGCATTAATTTTCTGAAGTAAGCAGATTCATTCTTGGACCAAATATTGTAGGTCAAGTTCATGGGGCCTCGAGGCCACCAGCTATTCCCAAAGGAAAGCCTCCAAGGCCGGGTCCTCTCTCTCCTAGTGATGGAATGGTCCAGGCCACTCAGCCAAAGCGTAAAATGCCTGAGTTGGAAAAACATCTGGTGGATCAACTTAGCAAAGAGGAGCAAGATGCGCTCAACTCAAAGTTTGAAGAAGCCACTGCTATTGATAAAAAGGCATTCTCTTGTTTCTCTCTGATTTTAGTATTGCTAATGTGGTGAATTTCTTTGATTAGCGTGAGTCACTTTTTCTTTTATTTTTACCTGAAGGTATCTTCCTCCCACCCCTACCCCCTCTTCATATGGCACTAATATGAAAAATTGTAGATTCTGGTAGTCATATTCTAGATTATAAGTTTCCAAACCTGGAAGATATCAAACAGCCTCTGAGAACTATGCATAGTTCTTAATTTTTTTCTAAACCTGATTGAACCTACTTACTACAATTTGTGTGCTATTCCCGTAAAGGTGATCAGTTGTCCATGTAGTCTTTATTGACGTAACCTTGAATTTTATGTGACTGCCGTTTCTTTTTTAAAGATCCTTGCATTTTGGTCTTCAGGTGGACGATCTTGAAAAGGAAATAGCTGATTCCAAGCAGAAAATTGAGTTTTTCCATGCTAAGATGCAGGAACTTGTAAGTATATTTGTTTATTAAGCTTGGTCGTTTATTTCCTAAAATGTTGTTTGAAATCGCTTTAATGATCACAAGAAGTAGACGCAACAGTTGTTTGACACTATGATTGTATGTCTCTTTAGTGATTTCTAAAGTTCTAGGAAATAGTTGTTTTCAGGGACCTCATTATTACTACCAACGATCGGTTTGTTTGTATAACATTCTCCATTTGGTTCCTTTGGGTGACAGGTTTTATACAAGAGCAGATGTGATAACCGGTACAATGAGATTACGGAGAGAGTCTCGGGTGATAAACGTGAGGTATAGAGTTTCTGTTCCACCGAACTTCTTCCATAATGTTATCAGATATCCAATTTGATTACCTAACAAAATCAACCTGTACTCCAGCTTGACTCTCTAGCAAAAAAATACGAAGAGAAATACAAGAAGTCTGGAAATGTAGGATCTAAATTGACTATTGAAGAGGCAACATTCCGCGATATACAGGTAGTTTAGAATTATCATCCCAGGAGCATGGCGTACCTTGAATTGTCGCCTTCAGAAATGTGATAATCTTCCCTTTTAAAATGCAGGAGAAGAAAATGGAACTGTACCAGGCCATAGTCAAATTTGAAGAAGGCAAGCTTGATGATAGTATTGTTAAGGTAAACACAACGTGCTATCTGGTTGCCTGAATGTAATTGGTAGTTATATTTTGCTGAATGTTTGTCTTGTAGGAGCGCACTGAGCACATCCAATCGGGCCTTGAGGAATTGATTAAAAATTTGAATGAGCGCTGCAAACAATATGGAGTACGTGGCAAACCCACTACTCTGGTGGAGCTTCCTTTTGGTATAGCTTTCCCCTCCTTTCAAGTTAAATATCACCTTTCCGACTGTTAGTTTTAGAATCTAGTTATTTGATTAAACGCTGATGCTTTTGTGCAACAAGAAACTCAGTTTTTTGACTCTGTATGTATTGTTGCCAGAAAACTTCTATCGATACAACTATATACCTGCTGTATCTTCCTTTCTATATATTCATGGGATTGTCTCACGTATTACAGGTTGGCAACCTGGAATTCAAGAAAGTGCTGCTGATTGGGATGAAGATTGGGATAAGCTAGAGGAGGAAGGTGAGACATCGAGGAAGCATGGCTTAAAATTTTTAATCAATTTTCTTGTTTCTCTTTATATTGTTTTGTTTTATTTTGGGTTATCCGTCTTCCAAAACAGGGTGTATGGATTTTTTAGTTGAACCTGAACATTACATCCTAATTTTTCTCTTCTTCCAGGTTTTACCTTCGTCAAGGAGCTTACACTTGATGTCCAAAATGTTATTGCGCCACCAAAGGAAAAATCATCTGCTTGGAAGAAAGAAGTTACTGTCTCTTCAAATGAAGGTGAACACGTTTCATCCTCAGATGTTGAGTCTAAAACAGAGAAAAAGCCTAGCAGTGGAGAAGAGGCATCTGAACATTCAGACGGTAAAACAGATAGAAACGGATCTCTGGATGACTCTAATGTTAGAAAGGGTGTTCAAGCTGATGGTTCACCTGGAACCAAAGATACAACGAGGTAAGCCTTTTGTTTCAGACCTTGTGTGTTTTAGATTTGCATCTTACTTAACTATGAATAATATTTGCTTCCATAAAAAGAAGAAAGTAGAGTATGATATGTTCCTACACATCTAGGGTGACTTCCATTGTCTAACATTTTACTCAATTTTATCTCAGTGAAAATGGTCATGATGATGGTGAATCTACTGCTTCTGCTGGCAAAACTGTAAACGAACCTAGTTATGACTCTCACGATGAGACCGATTCAGTTTCAAGCTTCAACCCTGACAACGGAAAGGTATAATATGCTCATGTGCTCTAGATTTATATTGATGCCTCGTCATCTTAATCTAATTGTTCTGTGTGTTGTGTGTTTACGCAGGACAAGAAGCATGATACTGATTTTGGATTCGGGTTCGGATTCGATGACTTCAGCATTAAACCTATAAAAACGGGTTCCACCCTATCAAATGACTTCCTCCCTCCAAAGCTATCTATATTTTCTGATTCTGTGCCAAGCCCCCCGGCTAATGCCAACGACGGTTTCACTGCAAAACCTTCCTTGTTTGCTGATTCTGTCCCGAGCACTCCAGCAACAACCACTGCCTCTTACCAAGGCAAGAAATCATACTTCGATGAGTCTGTTCCAAGCACTCCTGCCTACCCAGGAAACTTGTTTCCCGACCAGAAATCATACTTCGATGACTCTGTTCCAAGCACTCCTGCTTATCCTGGAAACTTGTTTCCCGAGAAGAAATCCTTCTTCGATGACTCTGTTCCAAGCACTCCTGCTTATAGCACGTCTGATTTTGGTGGGAAGCCCTTTGCATCAGAGACTCCTCGTTCAGACAACTTGTTCCCAGGAAGAAGTCCCTTCATGTTCGACTCTGTCCCAAGCACGCCCGCTGCACACGATGACTTCTCTTCCAACAGCTTCTCCCGCTTCGATTCATTCAACAACAACGACGCTTTCTCTCTATCCCGCTCAGACTCCATGCGCAGCACAAGCGAGCCAGACCCGTTTGCGTCCAGGTTTGATTCTTTCAACTACCAAAGATATGATTCCTTCAATGCACAAAGCTATGACAACAACAACAACGCATCAGAGACACCTAAAGCTTCATTGACGAGGTTTGACTCAATTGGAAGCACGAGAGACTCTGATTACAGTCACGGGTTTGGGTTTGATGACCATGACCCGTTCGGTTCTACGGGACCATTCAAGACAACGACAAGTACGGCTGAGACACCTCGGAGCTCTGATCATTGGAATGCCTTCTAGCCCCCAAAGCTCAGTGTGGTACGAATATGATCACATATATATCAATATGGTTTTTTTTTTTTTGTTACTGTTTGAACCTACCCAGTTGGAAGAGTTCTGTGTATTTGTTTGGTTTGCCTTCTACTTGCTTCATATTTGTTGTCAAGAGTATATAATAGTTATTTTGCCATTTTTAAAAGGATTTTTTTGTCCCTGTGGAACCGAAGTTGATATTGTTATCTTAGTAATCATCTCGTGTGGATGTATTATTTTTGTAATAGATTGATTTTTTTTTTGGAATTCAAATTCAAATTTTATTTTAAATTCTTTTTATAAAGTGATGAGAAACTCGTCAACTTAGGTTACGGTATTGTATTTCACAGTTCTGTTGATTGTTATTATGTTATTGGTCATGGTTTTTAACGTCCTCAAAAGCATAATATGTAATCAAATTTGAACATTACATTGCCTGATTTTCTAGCATTCAATTCTATGTATAGTTAGCTTGAGTAAATCTCTTATGATACAAATAGTTCTTGGGATTCAATCGGGGATGACCAGTACTGCAAGATTGATTCTATGGTAAGCCTTCTTGGCTTCTTGTTGCACGCAGCATTGAGATAAAAATAACGACATCCATCGATTTTATATTCTTCAAAAGGGTTTCTATGCGCAAAACTTCTGACATTCACCTGTTGACATCGAGGTTTAACCCACAAGTATCAGACATACAGATAGCAAAACAAAAAAAGGAACCAAAAGAATAGAGATGAGGATCACGGTATGATACCGCTGAGCTTAGTTTATTCATGTTCACGAGATGATATCTCCAGAAGCAAAATCCAACGTCTTTAAGAGAACCGCTCTCTGTTTCCATCAAAGCAAAAATTAATTAGGCTTTGTAGTGCTTAAAGATGCAGAAACAAACAATGTACCTCTATTTCTTTTGACGTATCCATCATCAAAGCCAGATTCTTGGACAACGTTCAAGTAGGAAGCTATCAGATAATCACCGTAGAAGATTGATTGATGTTCTGTACCTCCCACTCCTACATAATATATCCTCAAAGAGCAAAACTCAAGGTCTTTCTTTCTCAATGCAACATAAAATTGAATGCACTCACCCCGTCAAATCATCGGAACAAATATCGAGCCAACGTCTTAGTGAAGAGTTTTTCCTACGTATTCTCCTGAAGGCGTTTGGAGGTTTTGGCAGGTGGAAGTTGTCCATATCAATTGAACTTGTCTCATGGAGGTTTTCGAGGGACTGTAACATGGTTCCTTCTGTGATCCCTGAAAATGAGTCTGATAGTTGCTTTGTTGTTAGAAGAAGAATACTTTTCGCAGTGTTCGATAGAACTCTTGAGGGTTGCGAATACTCTTCGCAGTGTTCGTTAGAACTCTTTAGAAAACTGAAATCTTTATTAATCTGAATTGTATCTAAAACAAATAGCATAGATGTCTTTATATAAGACACGAAAACAAAACACTAATAGGAATAATATCCTAAACTCCTAAGTAAAAGTAAAACACATAACATAAGTAAAAAGGAAATAGGAAACGGTAATGACGGTGCGCTGCATCAGATTCTCCCGGGTGAAGGAGGATTCGCCCACTAATCTGGATCGTCATTGTCTCCACGAAAAGGTGATAGATGTTTAACGTTGAAGACGTCCGACGTCCGTAAAAGAGCTGGAAGCTTGACACGATAGGCATTAGGATTGATGCATTCTAAAACTTTGACTACGCCAATTTTTTCGGACTTCAGTGTATTGTATTGACGCAGAGGTAACCTTTCTTTTCTCAGATATACCCAAACAAGATCTCCAGGTGTAAAGAAAACCTCACGACGTTTTGCATCAGCGGCCTGTTTGTATTTCTCGGACGACACCTCAAGATTTGTATGTGCTTGCTTATGTATCTCCTGTAATTCTGATACGAAATCAATGGCCTCCCCATGATGACGCGTTTCGTCTGGTGTAGTAGCGAGGTCGAGAGGGCCACGAGGAACGAGTCCATAGACCACGCGAAAAGGCAGAAACCTAAACTTCGGTTGAGAGTATGATTGTGAGCAAACTCGGCTTGTCCCAGCTTAGTATCCCATGATTTGATATTATCGCCCACGAGGCAGCGCAGAAGATTCCCCAAAAAACGGTTAACAACTTAGGTTTGCCCATCAGTTTGAGGATGATAAGCTGTACTCATGTTGAGAGAAGTACCCAAAAGTTTCCACAATGACCGCCAAAAATGACTTAAGAAACGTGTATCACGGTCTGAGACAATTGATGCTGGCAACCCATGTAACCGATAAACTTCCTGAAAGAAAAGAAGAGCGACATTAACCGCATCAGACGTCGTTTTACACGCAATAAAATGAGCCATCTTGGAGAATCTGTCGACGACGACAAAGATCGAATCGAAACCACGCTGTGTACGAGGCAAACCAAGGACAAAATCCATGCTCAAATCGGTCCATGGTTGAGTAGGAATAGGAAGAGGTAGATAAAGGCCAGCATTTGATGCCTTGCCTATGGATTCTTGACAAACACGACACCGTTCGACAAAACGCTCAACGTCCCGTCGCAGAGAGGGCCAGAAGTACGACGACGTGACCAAGTGGAGCGTACGATCTCTGCCTACGTGCCCTTCAGTGTGAAGCTCACGAATGATTTCATGGTGAAGGCTGCAATCGGGCACACACAAGCGGATTCCCCTAAAAAGAAACCTGTCCTGGATAGTATAATCGCCATTCCCCGCATGTGTTTTCTCTCTAAATATACGAGAGAAAAATGGGTCGGATGGATAAAGGTCAGCAAAAGATGCAAAACCCTTAACGGAAGTATACATCGTTGTTAGCAGTCGATGACGGCGTCTAAGTGAGTCCGCAACGCGGTTAGACTTGCCCGATTGGTGACGAATTGAAAAGGTGAATTGTTGGAGATAAGAGATCCAACCTGTATGGCATGCGGAAACCTTAGCTTGGCTATCCAAATGTCGGAGTGCGTCATGATCTGTAAACAAGATGAATTCTCGGTGAACGAGGTAGTGTCGCCATTGTTTGATTGCTTGGACAATGGCATAGAATTAAACGTCATAAGTACTGTAACGACCCCTTGCGCCTGCTAATTTTTCACTGTAAAAAGCGACAGGGCGGCCAAGTTAACTTAACACGGCACCGATCCCGAGTTTGGAGGCATCACAATGCAACTCGAAAGCGATGGAGAATTCTGGCAAGACTAAGATTGGTGCTGAAGTTAACTTTTTTTTTGATGAGAAGAAAAGTCTCTGCTGCTTCGGTTGTCCACACAAAGCATCCCACACGCATAAAACTTATGATCGGAGCCATCAAAGTACTAAAATGGTTGATGAAGCGTCTATAGAGTGAAGCGAGGCCGTGAAAACTACGTACCTCCGAGATGGTGGTCGGAGTAGGCCATGACTTAATGGCTTCGATCTTGGAGTGATCTATAGCTAGCCCTTTATCAGAGACCACGTAACCAAGAAAAAGAACCGATGTGACTGCGAACTCGCACTTCTGTTTTGCTGCGTACAATTGTTCAGCGCAAGAACCCGAAGGACTTGGCGCAGATGTTCCTCATGATCAGGTAACGACGAGCTGAAGATAAGTATATCATCAAAATATACGACAAAAAATCGCCCGATGAACGGCCGGAGTGTTTGGTTCATGATTCTCATAAATGTACTTGGCGCATTAGATAACCCAAAAGGCATAACCCCATTCAAACAAGCCTTCTCTGGTTTTAAATGCTGTCTTCCATTCATCGCCTGGACGGATACGGATTTGGTGATACCCGCTTTTGAGATCGATTTTCGAAAAGAATTTAGCGGTCCCTATTTGGTCCAATAAGTCATCTAAGCGTGGTATCGGAAACCTGTATCGCACGGTAATCTTGTTGATCGCGCGGCTGTCGACGCACATACGCCAAAAACCATCTTTCTTTGGAATTAAGAGTGCTGGGACGGCGCACGGACTGAGACTCTCTTTGATATGTCCTTTTCGCAGAAGATCCTCGACCGGACGACGCAGTTCTTCATGCTCGAGGGGACTCATATGATAGTGTGGTCTGTTTGGTAAAGTTGCGCCAGGAACCAGGTCGATTTGATGTTGAATATCACGTAGCGAGGAAGACCGATTGGTAATTCGTCTGGGAAGACATCCGCGAAGTCAGTTAGAACTTTGAGCAAGGACGGTGGTGGTGTTGCGACTGATGGACGCTGCTCCGTGATTGGTACCAAGGCCAAAGCAAAACCTTCGGTTCGGAGTTCAGCCACAAACGTTGAGTGGGAGCAAAGTAAAGTCGCCGGTGGTGATGATGTTGCTGTAGGTGTCTTTTTGGTCGGGTGAGTTGTAAGTTGAGTAGCCGGTGAAGGAAGTGGTGATGAAAGAGATGAAGGACGAGTAGTTATGGGCGTTAATGCTTCCTGCGACGAGAGAAGAACAATCTTTTGGTTGTTCCAAAGGAAGCTGTAAGTGTTCTTTTCGCCATCATGAAAAAATTTCCGATCATATTCCCATGGTCGGCTAAGGAGAAGATGGCAGAAATCGATTGGTGCGACATCGCAGTAAAGCTTATCGTGATAGAGTGATCCTACTGAGAAAGGAACAATTGCACGTTGAGTGATGCGAATCGTTGTCTTATCATTGATCCATCTCAAGGAATACGGTGCCGGGTGTGTTTCCCGCGCAATGCCTAGTTTCTCGATAGCTTCTTCAGACACTACGTTGCAACAACTTCCTGAATCGATGACAAAGCTACAGACGCGTCCCAAGATGGTACAACTAGAACATAAGATGTTAGTGCGAAGCCAACGGTCATCTTTCCGGACTGGTGTAAGGCAAGAACGTCGTAAGACGAGTGAATGACCCATGTTGCATGCGGTGGCGTGTACCGCATCAGTGTCGGGATCATCCTCTTCTTGTGAATCAAAAACCTCTTGGTCATTACCCGCATCATCAAGGAAGAGGCCTCGACGAGTAGCATGCGGACAAGCCGTTTGTC